AAAAAAAAGAAAAGAAAAAAAGCAAATACTGTCTACTTCAGTGAGGGCTGCATGTGGATACTGCGTAAGTCTGGTTGGCGATACAGAAAGTGTTTAATACTGGAGTTATTAAAACCTGTACTGTGTGGTAAGATTTCAGAAGCTCCAATTTATTGCTTCCCTTCTTTCCTTGCCCCTACCACCATCAGAAAATTTTAAAAACCCTCCTATGATACTCAGATGAAAACCTGAAACTCCCATTCTATTTATTTTTCATTCTTTTCCGTTATAGTTTATTACAAGATATTGACTATAGTTCCCTGTGCTATTAGGACCTTGTTGCTTATCTATTTTATACACAGTAGCTTGCATCTGATAATCTCAAACTCCTAATTTATTCCTCCTCCTCCTCCTCCACTTTCACCTTTGGCAATCATAAGTTTGTTTTCTATGTCTGAGTCTGTTTCTATTTTGTAAATAAGTTCATTTGTATCATATTTTAGATTCCACATATAAGTGATATACGGTATTTCTCTTTCTCTGCCTGACTTATTTCACTTAGTAGGATAATCTCTATATACTGCCATCTGAGACAGGAGGGAAGGGGGCAGGGCATTAAAAGAATGACGGCAACTGAGGGCAGGTTAACTGGTTAGAACCAGATGGTGGAAGATTCGACTTCCAGTAGACCTTGAGCCCCACGGCACACCCACAGGCACCATGACAGTTCCGAGGTCAAAAAGTGGGCAGTGGCCTAATTCCTGGGAACCCTCACCCCTTCCCCAAAGTAGTTAGAATAATCTTCCCACTTGTTAGTATATGAAATTACCATGCCAATAAAAACTAACAACTCCCACATCTCATGGCCACTCTCCCTTCTGAGTGAGATGGACTACACTCTGTCTATGGCATGTGTATCTCCCTGAATAAATCTACTTTCACTGTAATATGGCTCGGTCTTGAATTCTTTCCTGTGCAGAGCCAAGGACTGTCACTTGATGGGGCCCATACCAGGGACTCACCTGGGACCCAGAACATGCCCATCCTCTGGCACCCCATTTTCCTGCAACACATCCATGTTCCTGCAGATGTCATTATTTCATTGGTTTTTATGGCTGAGTAGTATTCCATTGTGTGTGTGTGTGTGTGTGTGTGTGTGTGTGTGTGTGTGTGTGTGTGTGTGTGTATACACCCCACAACTTCTTTATCCAGTCATCTGTCGATGGACATTTAGGTTGCTTCCATGTCTTGACTATCGTAAACAGTGCTGCTATGAACATTGCGGTGCTTGTGTCTTTTCAAATTAGAGTTTAATCTGGACATATACCAGGAGTTTCATAAACTCTATGAAAATCCCACTTTAAACTAAACCATTTGGCTAAAGACTATATACTACTTTAAAAATTTTTAAATACTGAAAGGTAACACATTATGATTTGTCTTTCATATCAACCTCCCTCAATGGATACACTTACAAAATCCTTGGCTGCGAACGTATTTTAATGGAGGTAGAAAGTCCATGAAAGCCCTGAACCCATTTCCATAGTGGCGTGGATACATCATCCTGAGAAGGAAAGGGGGAACACGGGAGCTCAGAGACAGATTTTATCTTCTCTATGGTTATTTTCTAGCGATTAACTTAGAGTTTAGAAGTATTATTTTGAAGAGGGGAAAAAAAGATCTGTTTGATATTCAATAGTTATGACTTTCAACTGTGCCAGGAGGGTAAAATACAAAAGCCTTTATTAATATTCAGACATTCATAATATATTTTTATTTATACATAGCCTTTATTCCCAGAGCTCTTGGGACTTCGCAGACACATTACGATTCAGCCTCCATCTATTTTCACAAATGTGTCACTAAAGTATGTAGGGAGGAGGTATAACTCTATTATCTTCAGATTGCAGATACAGAAAAGAAAGCAGAGACAAATAAAGCAATTTACCTACGTCCTCAGTACACGTAAGCTGTTGAGCAAGGCACAGAACCAGTCATGTAATAGATACTTCTTCTGTCAGATAAGGACACCAGAGTCCCGTCCTAGCCAGGACCTGGCTTCTTCGGAACCCTTAGTACCAACAGGTAGAAGGCCAGGAAGGTGGGGTCCTATTCAAGGAAATCCACATGAACAGTTCAGCCTCCAACAAATCACTGCATGGTGGTTGTTAGGTGAGGCAGGAGCCGAGGCTAGCCTAAAGTTCAGAGCAGCTTTCTGCCCATTAGAGCGTCGGTACACGGTATGAAGCCTTTGGGGCCCTCCCCTGCCGCCCCTCCTGCCTTTCGCTGGCCTCAAATCTGGCCTTGTTGAGTAAGTCCCTCAGCAGCTCTGACACAGTTGAATGGGTCCTGAATCTTAACTTACCATCTCTACCCACCAAACCAGAATCACACTGCAAACACGCTTCAAAGTAAAACTTAGCACATACGGAGCTCTGGCACTGAACTAGGTTTAAGGTAAGACTTTCACTTTGTTTTTCCATCAGTTATTTTCACCATGAAGGTCATCATTCAGAAAAAAAATCAGTATTTTCACGTAAAGATAATCAACAAGCACTCGTTTTTTGTTTCGTTTTGTTTTGTTTTCATAAAAACCTGCTTCCCTTGTTTCTTGAGAAAAATGAAATGAGATGGTAGAATAATTATTAAAACTCAGTATTTAATGTAAAAATCATTCTTAGCGCATTAGACCAAATAAAAACACGCCATAGGCCAGATTTGGCCTGAGAGCTTTGGTGTGCTGACTCCTGCTGTAAAATCCTACAGACACTAAAATGATTATTAGAGGATATTATGAAAAACTTCATGCCAATAAACTTAAAACTCAGAAGACATGGACAAAAACGTAAGTTACCAAAATAAACAAAAGAACAGAAAGCCAACATTGTTTTATAACTATTAAAGAAACTGGACTGTTAATTTAATTCCTTCCCACAGAGAATAAGAACAAGCCCAGATGGCTTTGCTGGTGAATTCTACCAAACATTGAAACAGATTTTTCTAGACAACAGTAAATGAGGGACTATTTCCCATCATTTTTGAGGGAGCTTAATAACCCTGATATCAAAACATGACAAAAAAATCATAAGCAAGAAAAATTCCAAGCCAATGTTACCCAGAACATAGATTTTAAAAATCCAAATCAAATATTAACAAATCAAATTAAGCAAAATATAAAAATTTGGGTTTACTCCACGAATACAAAACTGACTGAACACTCAAAAATCAATCAATATAATTTATCACATTAATAGAATAAGAGAAAAATCATATGACCATCTTAATAAATGGAGAAAATATTATGACAAAATTCACTATCTGTTTATAATAAAGATTCTTAGTATACTAGGAAGAGAAAGGAATTTCTTTATTTCAAAAATAGTATCAATAAGAAATGTGCAGCAAGCATTAAGCTTAGTGGTGAAATGATGAAAGCTTTCCAACTGAGACCTGGAACAAGACAAGTATATGTGCTATCACCACTCCCATTCTACAATGAACTGAAGGTCCCAGCCAGTGCAGAAAAGGAACACAGCTATTTCAGGAAGGAAAAGAGAGAGAGAGAGAGAGGAAGGAAGGAAAGAAGGAAAAAAGAAGGAAACTGGAAAATGAGAAAAAGATTGGAAAGGAAGAAATAAGTAATAACACTTTCATTATTCAGATAATACGTGTGTCTGTTCATAGAAATTCCAAAAAATGGACTGTAAGTTGGTATAGCCACTATGGAAAACAGTATGGAGGCGTCACAAGAATAAAAATAAAAATAGAACTACCATATGATCTAGCAAATTCCACTTCTGGGTATATATCTGAAAGAAATGAAATCACTCTCTCAAAGAGATCCCTGCACTCCCAGTTTCACTGCAACATTATTGCAATAGCCAAGACACAGAAACAATCTAAGTGTCCATCAAAGCATGGATGAATTAAAAAAATGATATAGATAGATAGATAGATAGAGTTCAGTCATAAAAAAAGAAAAAATCCTGCTATTTGCAACAATATGTATGAAACCCTGAGGGCATTATGCCAAGTAAAATATGTCAGACAGAGGAAGACAAATACTGTATTATCTCACTTACATATGGAATCTAAAACAACCAAACTCATAGAAACATAGACTGTGATTGCCAGGAGGTAGGGGTGGGGGATTAGCGGAAGGTGGTCAAAGGGTACCAATTTCAGTGATAAGAGGAGTAAGTTCTGGGATTGTAATACATGGCATGGTCACTTCAGTTACTAATACTGTATGCATATTTAACAGAAGCTACGAGAGCAGATCTTAAAAGCTCTTAATACAACTCAAAAATTATAACTATGTCAAGTAATGGATATGTTAACTAACCTTATTGTGCTAGTCATATATATATTCACACACGGAGAACAGGGTTCAGGGTGAAGAAATGGAGGTGCTGGGAAGGTGGCCCACCCAGAAAGGACATTTCCCACACCTTGCCCTATGAGAATCTTCATCTGACTGTTCATTGCACTTTTTTATAACATCCTTTATAATAAACTGGTAATAATAGGTAAAGTGTTTGCCTAAGTTCTGTGAGCAAATTATCAAACCTGATCAGGGGGTTGTGGGAACCCCCAATTTTTAGCCAGGTAAGACAGAAGCATGGATAACCTGGGACCCACTACTTGCCATTAGCATCTGATGTGGGGGCAGTGTCGTGGGACTGAGCCCCTAAGCTGCGAAGTCTGGACTAATTCCAGGTAGTGGTGTCAGAATTAAATTAAGTTGTATAACATCCAGTGGGTGTCCACAGAAAAACAGACTATTTCTTGGTTTGAAAAACCCACACATTTGGTGTCAGAGTGTTGTGAGTAGAGAGAATTTTCCTTGAACTAAAACCCAATCAGAAAGGCTAAAATTTAAGACTTTAATGCCAATCACTGAGGAAGTACCGAGAAGCAGGAATGCAGCTTCACGGCTGCTTGGCAAGTCTATTAGTACAACCTTCTGAGAAAAGGGACTGGCACTATCTGCAGGGTTGCAGACAAGCACACCTTAGGACCCACAATTTCCACTCCCAGGAAGAGAGAACAGACTTGTGCACCAACAGACAGCAGAAGTGTTCTCAACGGCATTACGTCTCAAGCTGGAAATACCCAAATGCACGCCAGGAGTAAAATGGATACCCTTTCCTCTGCCGTCCGCGCTCTCTTCTTTGGTCGCCGAGTCCTTGGCAGACGTGAAAATGGCCACAAGCTTCCTAGTGCACGACAACATCTGGTTCGCCAAGGTCAAGCATGATGATGCAGAAAGGAGATGCCACCAGCAGATGCACGGCCTCTGGAAGGTTCCTCACCCGGAAGACGGCCGCCAGCGAAATCTCGCGACAGCTCTGAGATCTCGCGAGAGCCAGAGGAACCATCCAGAACGCCACAACCACCAGAAGTTCGGGCGCGGGCGGCGCCCGCGGGCGAATGAGGGATGCAGAGAGCTGGTTATCGGGATTGCCAGCCTGGCAGCAGAGAGGAGCCTGCGAGGGGTGGAGCAGGATCTGCAGCAGACTGTGTCCAAACTGGAGGCCCGGCTGAGGGCGCTGGAGAAGAGCTCGCCCGCTCACCGGGCCGCAGCCCCGCAGCCCCAGCGAGTGTCTCCCGTGCGCCATGTGGGGCTCCCCCACCCAGAAGGCGGCCTCCGCTGCGGACGACGAGGACCATGACACTGACGTGTGTGGCAGCGACTAGGCGGAGGACAAGGAGGCTGACCGACTGTGGGAGGAGAGGCTGCGGCAATACACTGAGAAGCCGGCCCTGGTGGCCAAGCCCTCCATCCTGGACATCAAGCCCTGGGATGACGAGATGGACAGGGCCTGGCTGGAGGCCTGTGTGCGCTCGCTCCAGCTGGACCGGCTGACCTGTTCCAAGCTGGTGCCTGTGGGCCACGGCATCCACAGGCTGCAGGTCCCCTGTGTGAAGGAGGACGACAAGGTGGGGACGGACTTGCTGGAAGAGGGCATCACCAGGTTCCAGGAGCACACGCAGAGTGTCCACAGTGCTGCTTTCAACAAGATCTGAGCCCTGACACTGGGCCTGAGTGTGTGAAGTCTTGCAGCAGGTAAAGACCGAGATTCAAAAAAAGTAAAACGGAGAAGTCAATTTTAGGTATATACAACAGACGATTATAAATGAGGGAAAATGAACAAACTACAGCTACCATCAGATCCTGGGAAAATTTCGCAAAAATGTTGAGCAAAAGAAGCTAGTCAGGAAGGCATTTATACTGTAGGATTCCATTTACTATAAAATTCAAAACAGACAGAACCATAGAGTTTGGGGCTACATCGAAACTAAATAAAGCCAGTAAAGAAGTGATCACCACAATAGCCAGGGGAAGATGAAGAGCACATGGTGGAAAGCAGGGGTTGGGGGTGGGATGGGGCAGGTTGGAAGTGCTGGCAAGATTCTATTTCTTGATCTATGTGGTCGTTACATGAGGGTTTGCTTTGTGATAAATCATTAGGGCACACGTTTTTGTTTCATGCGTTTTTGTATATGCTGCTTTTTCCTCCAAACTTTACCTTTTGAAGTGTAATTGATTTAGTAATAATAAAGAGGTGGAGTTTTAATTAGCAGATATAATTGACGTATAACATTGTATTCGTTTTAGATGTACAACATAGTGATTTGATACATGTCTATATTGCGAGATGATCCCCACAGTAAGTTTAGTTAACATCCATCACCCCACACAGTTAACAGTTTCTTTTCTTGTGATGAGAACTTTTAAGATCCACTCTCTTACCAACTTCCAGATATACAATACATACTGTTAACTATAGCTACCATACTATACATTACATCCCCAAGATGTATGTATCTTACAACTGGAAGCTTGGACCTTTTTGACCATCTTCGTCCATTTCACTGCCCCCACCTCTGGCACCACCAATCTGCCCTCTGTATCTCTAAGTTCAGCCTTTTTTTAAGATTCTACATGTAAGTGATATCATACAATATTTATCTTTCTCCGATTTATTTCACTTAGCATAACACCTTCAGAGTCCACCCTTATTGTTTCATATAGCAGGATTTCCTTGTATGTGTTTTAAATTTCAAAATTCAAAAGCTTAAGGAAACCTTCAACGTGAGCTGGTGGGTGGTGTCCAATGACACTGCTCCTTGCAGCCAATGGCCTATTAAATTCAGCCCTGGCCTTTGTTGGGCCTCGAATAATCTTGTATTACAGCCCAACACAACAATCCTTACTGAAGCTATCATCTCACTGATTTAAGTGAAAGACTTCAGAGTTTTCTTTTTATGAAAGGTGAATTATAAGGTTGTCAGAAGAGAAAGAACAGCAACCATTTCAAACCATATGTAGCTTTAATTAAACTGCCTTAGTTTAAAAAAAAAGTGTTCTCTTTTTTATGTGTCTTTTTAAAGTATTCTACTACATCTATGGACTCTAAGATGTCTGTTGGCGTGCTCTGCTTCCCATAGAACTGTCAGTGTGCCCACACGCTGAAAACCAGGAGGGAGCCAGCAACCATGATTGTCACCCCTCTGGAGCTGAGTGAATTATCTGCTTCTGGGCCGTTGTAGTCTGTCTTTTAATATATTGGCTTTGGCAGACCTCGCCTTCCGTGTCATTCCAATTAAGTTATTAAAATTAAAGTAAAAGTGCTTAAAGCTGAAGCGTTTTGGTAGAAGTTCTTAAAGGGGTCAGAAGTCTGTGCCCTGACTTCTTAGCAAGTTGCTTGCCCAGTTTTTTTAACCTGAAAAAGAAACTATTCTGAAGTTTCACACATATTCTGATAGCTTCTCTGGTTTCCTCAATTTCCAATTCACCAGAATAAAGTTTAACCTCTCAGTGTTTGGGGGAGGGGGAACCTCTATTTGTATGAGAAAATTAAAATTTGCATTTAAAAATTCTCTCCACTGGCCTTCATGCTCCCCTAACCAAAGCTCAACTTTTCATTGACCAAAATCTCAAAACTGGTATCTACAGACAAAGACACATACCTAGAGTAGAAGAAATCAAATGGGAATTTTTATGTGCTTGGTACAATTGAGCTAAAATTCACTTGTTTTGTGGACAAAAGGCAACCATCCTTCTCATTCCTGAGCATACTGGCTCCTTGAATAAATTTCCATAGTCAAGACTGGGGAGAAGGGGATGTATTTCTGATGCCAGATAAAACAGAATAGAAAAATTCCAGGTTAAATACTAGAGAAATCTCTTAATGAAGATATTTTTCAGACTAGGGCAACCTCCTGAGGGAAATGATTTGAAGTGACATCCTTTGAGACATTTAAATTACAGTGGATAAAATACTAGAACCCACCATGAAGAAACACTCTCTGTGGAACTCATGGGAAAATTACTGGGGTTTATAATAGGCCTTTTCTAAGAGGGGGTAAGCCTAGAAGGCAGACCTGATGTTGAATAAATGTTATTTTTAATGGAGTGTGGCTGCATTGTAACTCTGTTCCTCCTTCTTCAGCGAAGAGCATAAATGGGTAGGTTAGCCAAAAATTAATAGGTTTTTCTTAAAGTAGTAGATTTCTTTACCAAGCCTTTCTAATTATGAGTTCTTCCTCAAGAATCTCGTGCTTCAATACTGATTTTCTTCTAACTATTTTTTAAATGTTATCTACCCCCAGGATGTCCAATCCCCTTTCTCTACTAAATCAGCATGTAACCGAGAAGAAAACTTCTGAACTAACACAGCTTTTAAATGTCAAACTCATACGTTTAATTTCACCTATTTTGAGTAAAATGAATTTAGCGGTGACCCTCCAGGCTAAGGCTTTCTCACTGCAGTGCTGACCCAGCACAGCTCTAATTAAGCACAAAGAGTTCCACCATGAGTAAATCACTTGTTTGGAATGAGCTTCAAAAGAAAAAAAAAAAAAAACTACCTTCTAAAGAGCCTTCATTTAAAAGTACAATTGCCATATTCTGTAAGCCTATTATTGATTTTTCTTCATTGTTGAGATGAAGACTGTAAACAGAGTTGCATATTTACTCATTTCATTTTCTGATACCTTTGCTCCAAAGAGCTCCACATTTCTGTCCCACGTGGGTGAGAGGTTGCTATTTCCAGAGCTGGTCCATGGAGATGACTGATGAATGACCAGACAAAATTCTGATTAATGCTCTATAATTAGGAGTTGCCTCTACTTCAAGAGCTCCACAATTTTGACCTTACCACCTTCTTTCCCCTTGGTAATTGCTGAAGTTTGACAGCCATGGTGTTTGCTGCCTGTAACATATGGCTAATTGAATCTGAGCTGGGGAAGGAATGACTAGATTCCTAATGATGATCAACTCCACAGATATGAAGCGGGAATAAATAAACAGAAAACAAGGAAAAGGCTGCTGAGCCAGAAAACATCGTATTATACACTGGTTGCAGCAGGATGCAGGTATTCTCAGAAATGCCTGAAGATCACTTCTGTATGGTTTGCTCTTTCTGTCTTTTATCACAGGAGGCAGGTCAGGATTAGACAGAGATTTGTTTTCATCTGTGTGGTTTTTGCAAGTCTGGACACTGGACACCTGATAGCCTCCTGAAATTCACATAATCTTACATTGGAACACTTTGTATTTCTAATAAGGCAAAAAGATTCTTGTAGATTCTTCTCCATCCTCACCAATCCAGTAATGAAAATACACATATATGAAAGAATAATGTTGCCTGCCCTGTCAGTAAAGGGTGTTGTGACCATTAAGCCATCAGCTGTTGCAGCCACCCCTGACTGTGTACTCAGGGGATTCAGGATGGGGAAAAACAGGATACTGGCCCTAGAGAGTTAGGGAATGGTCTTAGTAAGCCCAGACTCTTGCATCTTCCCATACATAAAAAGTGCTAAGTTCATTAACTTGAGATGTTTGCTTTTTCTTTAATTAACAAGAGATCTTTTGATGTTCAACTACTTGATTTGTTTTTGCAAACCTATATATCCTGGCTCCTCCCTCACCTCTTTGGAGCAGTCCCTCAGAGCTATCTTATTGCTTAAGTTCTCAGCAAGTCCACCAAATAAAACCTAATTATCAACATTTAGGTTGTGCAATTTTTTTTTCAGTCAACACATGTATTTGTAAATGTGTGCTTCAATTTTAAATGAATTTTTCTACAGCAGTTAACATAATGGTAACATACCTACTTTGAATTGGCTCCCCGGGGATAGAGAGAAAGCAGTAAATGAAATAAACTAAGAATATTCACTCAGCAGACATTTTTGCTAAATATTTTAATGGTGCAAGGCACAGTACTATGTGTCAAAAGGGTATACAGATGATAAGACAATTTTCTCAATTTTTTTTTCAGTGTCTGTGGAGGTAAGCAAGATGAACGGTAGAAGTAAAACATGAGTTAGGTTGTGATGTGTACTTAAGAAGATATTGTTTAATTATGGTCCTTCGCTAGGCTCTAAATGCACTGAATAAAACCTAGCACCATGATGCATAGTAAGTGTTCAATAAACAATAAATACTAATTATAAATTAATAAAGGAGAGAATGGACATAATATATAGTCATGCTAGATTCAGTGAGAAGTTACTTCTAACTGTGAGATTCTAGAGAGGCTTTTATAAGGAAGTGTATTCTTGTTTTAAGTCTTAAATGAAGGAATAGATTTATAGTGAGTGCAACGGGAGTCACTCAAACATAGGCAAAAAAAGGAGATACAGTATATGTTTGGATGACACAATTGATTTGGTTTGTTTGAGAAAGTTATAGGACATTTGACATTTTGCAACGTGTCGTAAACTTTGAAAAGATACATGAAAAATGGTTGTGTGAGATAGACCCAGAAAGGTATGTTCGGAACAGATCATGGATGGCCTTGATTACAGGCTAATGATCAAGACAAAAAGCAGTGATCCATCAATGTCTGTGGGCTAATTCGTATCTTACCCATTTATTCATAACGGGAAATGTTCTCCAAAATCTCTCAAGAACTCACGTACCGGAATTAACAATGACCATGGAAAAGCTAGAGTACGGTACTCCTGGAATTCATTTTCAGGATGGCCCCGAAAGATAGTAGAGGTATCACTGAGAGTAAACTCCACTGAAAACAAGCATCCATATTGGAAACTGTTCCTTTTATGTTTTTCTTTTCAGCAGCTTGTCTGCTATAACTAAGAATAATTCAGAAATTTAATTTAAGGGATGGTATCTATGGTGC